TTCAGAAAATACTATTTCAAATCGTTATTTCCAGTATATCTTTAAAAAAATATTATTTCAATGAATAATTTTCTTTACTACAACATAATTTGAGAAGAAGAGATACGATTATGCGAGCCTTATATAGTCATAGTTCTTATGATTTTTATAGTTACCGATTATCAACAATTATATAAACGAATAATCGTATCACCTCTTCGCAAATTGCCCATTTTTGTGCGCAATCTGAGCGTCAATTAGAGAGAATTTACTGTACTTTCAATTACTCGTCTTTTCGACGTCCAATAAATTTAGAAACATTCTTTCAAATAAACAATAGTATATTTTATTAACTATCTCCAATACATTTTCTAGTACTTTTACCAAGATCTGAGTGCAAATAACAGGATATTAGTTCCTTAACATGGCATGTAGTCTCGGAATTGCCATCGGATCGTGTCACGTGGCCTCCGAATTGCCTTCGGATCGTGGCAAAAAGTTGGAAATAAAAAAGTTAATTTATTATTAACCCTTAACGGACCAATGTTGCCATATACATTGTAAAAATCAATATAACCGTAAAATCTAACGGAAAACTTTGTACTTTGATGAAAATATATCAATGAATTTTTATAAAATAAATTGTTTTTCATATATTTCATATATAAATCTTTAGTATATAATTTCTCTTCGTATGAAATATAACTTGGACTAACTACTTGAAATGTAGACTTGAAATACTTCTGGTCCGCTGATGGTTAATATAATGAAATAATTATTAATACAATTAAAAACATAATTCACAATTAATTTCAGCATTACTATCTATTCTTATCAATACACACCGACATGCTGGCCGCTGACTTTTCTTGCCGACAGCCTCGAGTTTCTATAAAACACGTTCGAAGAATCGTGTCCTCGCGCGACTTAGTATTCTTAGATCTGCGCGTTTCGATTCCCGATTCCAAGCATTTCTCAGCGAAATTACTGTATCGGTGAAAATAGCGGCGATCTCCGCGATATCCGAGAGACGCCGCCGCCCGCGACTCGAGCAGCTCCGATCAGCTTCCATCCCGGACGGCGGGGACACGCGCCAATTTCAGATAATATCTCGGTAATTAGGGGCGGCTCGAGGTCCGTTTAGCTGACTTATCGGCGACGTTTCGTTATTATCCGTAATTCCGTTCGCGCCGCCGCGGCGCGTCTTTCAATTAAGACCCTTTAATTGCGAGTGTGCCTGCGAACCAGCCCGCGGCTGCGGACGGATGCGCTGTGAAGGGAGTCGGAGGGCTGCGAGCGAAGAGGAGGAGGACGCCGGTGGATGAAGGGAGGAACAGGGAGGACGAGAAGGTCCTTTAATTCCAGGAGGAGCGCGCGTGACTGTCGTTCCTTTGTGCTAATGGAACAGAGAAATTCGCGGGACCGTGGCGCGGCGGCCGTCTTCGGGCGCAGAGGCGTCTTTCATCCCCCGTTTGAAAAAGAAGCAGGAAGGGAGAAACCGGCGAGATGGGGGAGAGAGGGGGAACGGCGACGGTGGCCGGGTTAACGGATGGCAAGAAATGAAAACGGAGAGTCAAAGATAAATAACGGGGAGAAAGAATCAAACGACGTCGACGACGACGACGACGACGACGACGATAGAAAACGAAGAGCAGCAACCCGGGGACGCAAAGGAGGACGAGGGATATAGAGCGAACGTTTAAAGACAGACGTCCAGGGGGGTGGCTAGGGACGCGAAAAGAGTTCAGTAATTCTGCGCAACGTCGCATAAATACAGGCCGGACGACCGGGATCTCGAAGATGCTTCGGCTAGACAAGATATGCGATGCGGAAGTCGCGTGTTTCGTCTGCCGCATTACGACTGCATCACCTGCGCGCAATTTTCTGGAACGCGGTGGGTCGTCGGGTTTAGTTCCAGTTGCTACTCTGTAAACGGTCAGGGGTAAATATGCAGGGTGTCCCAAAAGTTAGTGGAAATAGGGAAATGAGGGATTCCTGAGGTGATTTGAAGTAACTCTTTCCTTAGCGGAAATGTTCTACGAGGCCTCGTTTACGAGTTATTAAGGAAAAACGGTGACCAATGAGAGGCCGAGATCGCGAGGCGGCCGAAATCAGCTGACGCGCGGCGGCCGAGCCAATGGACGGACGAAGCCCAGTTCCGCCGCCTCGCGCCAACCGAGCGCGCCTCTCATTGGACAGCGTTTTTCGTTAATAACTCCTGAACGAAGCCTTGTGGAACATTTTCGCTAAGGAAAGAGTTGTTTCAAATTACCTCAGTAACCTTCCATTTCCCCCATGAACCTTGTATATAGACACTTTCTAAAACGGTATAACTTTTGTTCACTATGGACTGTACGACTTGAATTCTTTTTTACGCGATAGATGGTCTAGTCTACTGGACAATTACTGAAATTGCTTTTTTAAATCTGCCATTGCTTGGAATGACAAATAAAACTTAAAAAAGTATATTGATTTCGGCAACTTAAGTGTTTGTAACTCTTAGTGACGTCAACCAGTTTCGATGAAATTTTCAGCACGTGTATCGCATCGATTTAGACAACGACGACAAGTGAATTTAATTTATAACACCTGTAAAAGTGCATCGTACTGGATACGATTTAAAAAAAAGAAGAAAGAACAAAACAGTCGAGCGTATCAATTAATTGTAAGATAATTTTCGAACATCTTAAAATTGTAGAACAATTTCACCGTCAGTGATTGTTCGGTGAAATTGTTTCACAGATTTGTATACGAAATAAAAACTTTCGATACCGTTTTCGAAGTTCCAATGTGAGGACATTCGTAAAAATCGTTAAATAATATACCATTATCCGTATTTGTTTCGTTTAATCTCTTCATACGTTATTATTTAAGCGCGGTAACGGAGACAACTATATTGTTTTTAATTTCTGATAAAAAAAGCTCATGCAACAGAAGGTTAAATTGCGAACGGAGAAAACCTGTCAGCCCTGCGTCACGAAAGTCGAGTGTCTCCCACGCCGAAGTAGAATCCGGCGCCCTCTAATTAATTGCAACTTCGTCCGAAAAACTTCGAACTCGGGCGGGCGCCCCGCGGGATTTCCGAATGGCGGTAGCAGAGAGGTATGGCGGGGCGTAATAAGGCACACGAGTGACAGACGGCGTGGTAGGGACGTTTATTACGTCATAATGATCCGGACTTCCGGGTTCCCGAGTGAATGTAAGTGACGGCGGGTGCGAGAGCCGGTTGTGCGTGCAGCATTACGGCGGTGGTTGAGCGTGAATGGTCAATATAAATCAGGCTTCGTGATATTGCGTCGACGCTGATGCTGCTCCCGAAAACGGGGCGAACGTGGCTGCGCCTTTGTTGCGCACGAAAAGCGCGAATTAGAGTGGCAATCTTCGGCATTAGGCGAGACTGTAGTAGCTATCTGTCTCTTTCTCTCTCCCTCTCTCTCTCTCTCTCTCTCTCTCTCTCTCTATCTTATTCTCTCTCTTCTCTCTAATTCTCTCTTTTCTTTCTCTTCTTTCTAATTCTCTTTTTTCTCTCTTTTCTCTCTCTTCTCTCTAATACTCTCTCTTTTCTCTCTCTTCTCTCTAATTCTTTCTTTTCTCTCTCTTCTCTCTAATACTCTCTCATTTCTCTATCTTCTCTGTAATTCTCTCTCTTTTTTCTCTCTAATTCTCTCTCTTTTTTCTCTCTCATTTCTCTATCTTCTCTGTAATTCTCTTTCTTTTTTTCTCTCTAATTCTCTCTCTTTTTTCTCTCTCATTTCTCTATCTTCTCTGTAATTCTCTTTCTTTTTTTCTCTCTAATTCTCTCTCTTTTTTCTCTCTCATTTCTCTATCTTCTCTGTAATTCTCTCTCTTTTTTTCTCTCTAATTCTCTCTCTTTTTTCTCTCTAATTCTCTTTCTTTTCCCACTCTTCTCTCTAATTCTCTCTTCTCTCTCTTTCCCTTTCTCTCTTTCATTCTCTCACTTCTCACTCTATTCTCTCTCTCTCTCTTGCTTTCTCTCTCACTCTCTCCCTTCTCTTTCTGAACCTTTCCCTCTCTTTTCTTCTTTTCTTTCTCTCTCGTTCTCTCGCTCTCTCTCACAAACTCTCTCGCTTCTCTCTCCCATTTTCTGTCTCTCTCTCACACTCTCTCGCTTCTCTCTCCCATTTTCTGTCTCTCTCACACTCTCTCGCTTCTCTCTCCCATTTTCTGTCTCTCTGTCGCTCTCTCTCTCTCGTTCTCTTTCTTTTCTTTCTCACTCTCTTTTCATTCTCTCTCTCTCTCTTCTCTATCTCTCTCTCTCTCTCTCTCTACCCCCGCGACGTCTAATTTTGCTAACTCAAATGGGCTGATTAATGTGCAAACGGCGCACAGTGGAACGAAACATATCCCTGCGCGTCGTCGGTCAAAATTTATCGTCTAAATTGTTCCTCCTATACCTGTCATTAAATCTTTTGTTATTACAATCAGATTGCGGATATATTTATGCAATGTGCATATTTTACAAGACAATCGTAAGAAACAGAAATGAATCTCTCAGCCGCGGACGTCGTGTATACGTACACGTCATAAAGAAATAGCAATTTCGCATCTTACAACAAAAATAATTCTCCTACAATCTAGATTAAAATGCTTGTAAAACATATTCGTAATTTTAATAATTTAGAATAATTTAGAACACAATAAATTCTCCCTAATCGACGCTCAGATTGTACACAAAAATGAACAATTTGGGAAGAACAGTTATAATCGTATCTCCTCTTCGCAAACTGTCCATCTTTCTGCGCGATCTGAGCGTCAATTTACTGTAAGGGAGAATTTACTGTAATTTTAAAACAACTTGCCCAAAAGAAGCTGCGCCCAGCGTGACCGACGAAACGCGTACGAAATTGATTTTGAAAGCAGTTCGACGCAGCCGAGCGATTAAATAAAAATTGGTCGTTCTATTCAATAACCTTGACAAGTTTGGGAACGGTGCGACAGCGCTATTAAATCCTTGTGAACGGTGGTGTTTCTGCTAACGATCTTTGTCGTGCTTGTTCCAGCTGGGTTTCTTCACGTACTACACAGTGGCGATGGGAGAAGTGAATCCGTCGGGTCCGGTACCAATCGATAGTGTCTTCATTTACAGGCCGGACAAACGTCTCGAGCTCTGGAGGTTCGCGTTCTATATGTTCCTTCATGCCGGGTGAGTACCAAACTGTTCAAACGTAATCGAACCACTCCGTTGACAATTTCTGTATCCACTGAGATCTGTTTGGAACGTAAACCGTTTAACGATTCGGGGTAAAATGCATCGATTTTCTAATACGAAAGAGTTATAGCAATTGAGGGGAAGTGTTGATAATAAATGACATAAAGGTTTGGAAAATTTAGAGAAAGGATAGAGAATACAATGTTAACAATTAAGGGAATAAAGGTAACGAAAAATTAAGGGAAAGGAGAGGACGCAATGTTAACAATAAATAGAATGAAGGTTAGAAAAATTTAGGGGAAAGATAGATTACAATGTTAACAATTAATGGGATAAAAGTGAGGAAAGATTAAGGGGAAGGATAGGACACAGTGTTAATAATAAATAGAATAAAGATCAGAAAAATTCAGAGAATAGATAAATTACAGCATTAACAATTAATGGAATAGAAGTGAAGAAAAATTGAGGGGATAGATTAGGTCACAGTGTTAATAATAAATAGAATAAAAATCAGAAAAATTCAGAGAAAAGAAATTACAATGTTAACAATTAATGGAATAAAAGTGAAAAAGAATTGAGGAAAAAGATAGGTCGCAGTGTTAATAACAAATAGAATAAAGAGTAGGAAAATTCAGATAAAAAGTAGAATACAAAATGTGCAGAATTAGTAGATTATAAATAATCTTTCTTTTGCCAAGAAATATATTGTTTTGTTCTCGTTATTTCGTTTTGCTTATTTTATGGAAATTTTGGAAGAAAAATCGTAACAGCAACGAAAGCAATAATTTACGCACAGTTTTACACGTTGTATACTATAAACAGAGAAATCTAGATTTAATTGACAAAATAACTATTAATTGTGCCTGCCGAAAGATAGAAATATTATTGAACTGTTTATTAATTTATCAATTTCTAAGTTGCGAACGTTTCCAGTGATATTATGGTAACCATGACCGAATCCATCAAAAACCTCAACGAACCAATTTTCTTTCGCAAACTAAGATCGTCTTCCATCGAACTTGCTATCAATGATAAATAATTGGAAACTAGCATCCGGAAGATTCATACTTAATTAATCAAACGAAAATTTCGTAATCGTCGATTTTAAGACAAATTCGAATTACTTTATTCCTCGATCGAGCGCGATGAACAAAATCTCCGTATATTTATTAAAAGCAGAGGCAACTTTGATTTATAAAGCAGCAAATTAAAAAAAAGAATTTTAATTAAATTTAAAAAAAATTAAAATTACAACGGTGACGAGCGTCTATTTTGCCAATACACTGCGTGTATTTGTATTACTTATTGTATCGCTCGAATCGTTCGCGTTCATTGGAAATCGTAACGCAAACATTAGCTGCCGCGTATTTAAATAATTTGGATGAAAAGCAATTAATATTAATTTGGAATCGCGACGCGGCGCGCTTCGGGAAACGCGTGACGCGATGATGCACGTGGAATTATTTATGGGCACAATCGGTGACGGAGTTCTGTTTTTACAAGCTTCATAAACTGTCCCATTACTTTTCCAAGTGTTCCGCGTGCAGGTTATTTATATGTATATACGTGTATTACATTATATATATTTTTTTATAATTAATATAATTTTTATATAATAATATTTAATTTTAATATATATAATATTTTTTATAATATATATATATATATATATATGTGTATATTATATATATTATTATTATATTTATATTATATTATATATTATTATATTTATATTTATTATATATATATTATTATTATATTATATATTATTATATTTATATTTATTATATATATATTATTATTATATTATATATTATTATATTTATATTTATTATATATATTATTATTATTATATTATATATATACGTCGCGGAAATACACACACACAGCGCAATGAATTTTCGAATACGGGAAAATTCAAACTTATGAACGGTTTATCGGCCAGTCGCCGCGTATAAATCCCAATTTGTAATATTTAAAACGTCGATTACTGTTCTTTAACGGCGACGGTTTTACGCGTTATTATACCCGGTTATTGAATCGTTCTTTACTCGATACTCGGATATGCACGTTTTATTTTAGCCCGCGATTAATCCGTTGTTACGGATTCCAGCGATCGGCCGTATTGAGAACGGCTCTTAAATTTAATCGGCGACGACAGATTTTCACAAACGTCTGAATCAAAAATTCAACGATGTTCAATGAAGTGGAAATGTTTCACTTTTACCGAAATGTTCTTGCCCCACTGAATTCCTTCTTTGAGAACAGGTGAATCGAAGATACAGGATTTCGAACAATTTGCGGACTGATTTTCGAGATGTTCTTGATGAATGTTTTCGATGTTTAATTTTTTCGTTTGTGAGAAGTGAAGGAATACTTGAACTTGTATATAGGAGGGGAAATTTTTTGAAACGATATTTTAATTGCGATTTGTGCGTAAGTTTAGGGTGATTTTTTGGGGAGATATTGAAACGGAATAGAAAGATTATTAAAATATGATCCAATAAAATAATATAGTCTAATATATGAAAATTATGTAGTCCAATGCATAAAAATATAATCTAATGTATGAAAACACAATCTAATGTATAAAAATATAGCCTAATATATAAAAACATAGTTATAAAAATATACATTCAAATATATACATACATAGTCTAATATATAAAAATACAGTCCAACGTGAAAAAATATAGCTGAATGTGTAAAAATATAGTTAATATATAAAAATATAGTCCAATGTATACAAACATAGTCTAATGTATAAAAATATATAGTCTAATATATAAAAACGTAGTTCAATATATAAATACATAGTCTAATATATAAAAATATAGTCTAATATATAAAAATATAGTCTAATATATAAAAATATAGTCTAATATATAAAAATATAGTCTAATATATAAAAATATAGTCTAATATATAAAAATATAGTCTAATATATAAAAATATAGTCTAATATATAAAAATATAGTCTAATATATAAAAATATAGTCTAATATATAAAAATATAGTCTAATATATAAAAATATAGTCTAATATATAAAAATATAGTCTAATATATAAAAATATAGTCTAATATATAAAAATATAGTCTAATATATAAAAATATAGTCTAATATATAAAAATATAGTCTAATATATAAAAATATAGTCTAATATATAAAAATATAGTCTAATATATAAAAATATAGTCTAATATATAAAAATATAGTCTAATATATAAAAATATAGTCTAATATATAAAAATATAGTCTAATATATAAAAATATAGTCTAATATATAAAAATATAGTCTAATATATAAAAATATAGTCTAATATATAAAAATATAGTCTAATATATAAAAATATAGTCTAATATATAAAAATATAGTCTAATATATAAAAATATAGTCTAATATATAAAAATATAGTCTAATATATAAAAATATAGTCTAATATATAAAAATATAGTCTAATATATAAAAATATAGTCTAATATATAAAAATATAGTCTAATATATAAAAATATAGTCTAATATATAAAAATATAGTCTAATATATAAAAATATAGTCTAATATATAAAAATATAGTCTAATATATAAAAATATAGTCTAATATATAAAAATATAGTCTAATATATAAAAATATAGTCTAATATATAAAAATATAGTCTAATATATAAAAATATAGTCTAATATATAAAAATATAGTCTAATATATAAAAATATAGTCTAATATATAAAAATATAGTCTAATATATAAAAATATAGTCTAATATATAAAAATATAGTCTAATATATAAAAATATAGTCCAATGTATACAAACATAGTCTAATATATAAAAATATAGTCTAATATATAAAAATATAGTCTAATATATAAAAATATAGTCCAATGTATACAAACATAGTCTAATATATAAAAATATAGTCTAATATATAAAAATATAGTCTAATATATAAAAATATAGTCCAATGTATACAAATATAGTCTAATATATAAAAATATAGTCTAGAGTATGGAAAAATATAATTTAAAATCAACATAGTTTTATTTTGCTTTTAAATCTTATTCACAATAAAGTCTTTCACTCTATTTTATTTATAAAGACCAGATCTACCGAAACTCTTGGAATTGCTATTGTCTAACTACCAATTTCGGTCGCACCCAATACTCCAACATCCAATCAAATATCCAAAGCTACATCCACCGTCGTATTTTCCCCAGCAAAGATAAATCTGGCCAGACCCTCGAGCAGACCGAACAGCACCACCCTATGGTAATAACAGCGATCACCATAAATCCGTAATACAGCTAAATAAATTTCAGCAGCCCTCAGCGTCTTCTCTTAACAAAAGTGGGGGCGGGTGGAGGGGGTGTGGCAAGAAGAGGGGCAACGGTGATAAAACAATAGACAGAAGGGAAAAAGTTTGGCGAGACGGTTCTTTACGAAAAATAGCCGATGGCGTGGGCGCGCGGGAAGGGGGAGGGGGCGGAAGGAAACGTATTTTCCGGCATGGGACCAGGGCGCGTGCCAGCACATTTACGTAATTCTGTTCGACTGGCGGAACGATGGTTGAATTCGATTCGATTCGATTCGATTCGATTCGCTGGGAGATTGCAACGTGATTCGCGCGAGGGAGCCGCCGAAAGCGAAATTAGCGTCAAGGATTAACGCGGCAGTTGCATCGAGTGCATTCGCGCGGCCAATCGGGAAAAGTGGTCGCCGAAATGTGCAATCTGTCACGCGTGCCCATTTTTTCGCGGCGCGCGCCGCGAATTTTAAGCGGGGCCACTTCCTTCCGACGCCATTTTCGTTGGTCGACCGGCTCGTTATCTTATCCGTTAATTCTTCATTAGCAGAGCTTCGGATTGGAAATTGAAACTTAAATTGTTACATTGCATTCTCTAATTTGGTACTTGATATTGATTTTTAATGCGGATCTCTGGTTATGATTTTTAATTGTATTTTTATAGAGTGGAGGATCCTATCGTGCAATTTGTAGA